GAGAGAGAGAGAGAGAGAGAGAGAGAGAGAGAGAGAGAGTGTTTAAGTGTGTGTGTGTACATGCGTGTCCCTTTGAGGATGAGAAGCCCTGGATGGGACTGCTTGTCATCTAATAAAGTCTGTTCTACCTTTCCACTCCTGTTCCTAAGCTGACATTCGCAGGGGAAAAGCAAAACACTTTCATTCCTTCGACATCTAAGGATCCCTTTTAATTTCGGAAAATGTTTTCCTTCTGGTGAACAACTGAGGCGTCCCACTGCCCTCAGCCCTTCTCCCACCTTCTCACCGGCCAATCCCCCTCCATTCCCCCCCCCCACAAGAGTGCATGGTTCAGAAGCACCCAGATCCCTGAGCACACCTCTGTGGTTCTGGGGGATGGTGAGGATGGGGCTCTTTCTCTCCTGTCTACACCAGCCACCCCTCTGTTCCTTTTCCAACAGGGAGTCACTTTCAAAGGAGCTCTGGTCCTCAGATCTGAATGAGAGGCTGGAGCCAAACAGTTGCTTGGCATCAGCTTGGTTAACTAGCAGCCCAAAACCTCGGGTGTGAGACCTGGAGCCTGGGACACCCGACTCGGATGGATGAGAAGGGCCTCTCTCAAGCCAGGGGCATCCTTAAGCTCATTGACTGAAGAATGGACGGAACCCTCATCCTTATGGAATGCATTTGCTTTGCTGAGGTCCTCATAGTTGTAAATGCTACATGCCCTGGAAGCTGTCGAGTGCCTTGAACCCCACAACTGTGCTCAGATTTGAGACAGCTCAGAATAAGACCTCACCAGCAGGGGGGTTTCCTCGCAAAGCTGAGCTGTGTGGGGTAGAGAGCAGGAAGGGCAGAAGGAGGGGGTTGGTGAGGGGGCAGTGAGCCTGGGATGGAGGAGGCTCAGAGGCTCTCTGGTGGACAGGTGGCTTTACAGGAGACTTTGATGGTGGTCTCACATGGTGGTCTGAGGCTGACCCAGAGCCTGAATCATGTGAGTGATGTGTCCTTGTGTCTGCTGACCCCAAACAGGATCTTATCACCCCGCTCAGGTAAAATGAACCCTGGGGAACCCAGCCAGGGTTCTGATTTGAGGCCATAAATCCCACTCTGGCTAATTTAAGGGGGGGAAATGATTAAAGTGTTTATGGAATGAAGACCACGTGTCTCTGGGATTAACTAAAGTGGGGTTGGTCCCACACTGTGGGTGCTGGTTGCGGGTGGATGCGGGCCAGGTCCATAGCCTGTCACCCTGAGACATGGACATCCTGAACCCCTGCAACCGTCCCCGTCTTGCTGTACTCACTAGAGCCTGAGGAGTGGCCTCTGGCCCACACACCTGCTGTTGGCCATGCCAGGTGGGAGAGGGACTGCATAGCTTCCTGGAGAGGTGGCTTCCTAGGTACCTTGCACAAGGACACAGTCCAGGGGAGGAGGTGCTGCCCTCTTGTGATTCTGGGGTGCTGTTTGGAAGAGGGGGATCCTGGGGTATCTCCGCCCCACAGGTGTCCTATGACCTCTGGGCCGTGTGGGCTGGACATCCCTCTGGCTTCCAGCGGGGCCGTGGGAGTCACTGGGTAGTGAGACAGGTCCGTCCACCCGTCTTTTCTCAGTGAATCCTTTGTTTTCAAGTAGGTATGGCTTCACAGAGGAACTGGGAAGTGGGACCAGAGTGTTTGCACGCACCGGCAGGGAGGGCCTGTTCACATTTCACATGGGTAGTGAGGGACAGTCGGTGCCTGGTGCTGGACATTACTGTCACTGAATCTGGGCCTTATTCACATTGCCCTGGCTTTCATGGATGGCCCATGTGCTCTTCAGGGTCTGGTGGGAGCTCTGAGTGGCACTTGGGCATCCTGGCTCCTGCGTTCCTCTGGATTTGCCTGTTCTTAGACCTTCTTGGGTTTTGACGTCCTGGACAGTTTGGACACTTGTTGGTCAGGGGCTCTGGGATTGTCTCCCTCTACGATTTGCCCAAGGTTCTTCTCATGGTCAGATGGGGAAGGACTTTGAGGAGGAAGATCACAGTGGCTCAGGGACACTTCTTCCAGAGCCTGCAGAGGACACCTAGGGCAGCAGGACCTGGCATTCACTGCCCGGGCAGTGGTGTTGGCTGAACTTGGACTCAATCTGAGCTAAAATGAACTTCTCCTCCTCTACGTTGTTCTTGTCAGGTCTTTTGGTCACAGCAAGGAAACGCTCACTGACCCTGTGGCCTGGCCAAGGCTGGCCCCCAGCCTCCCAGACTGCCTGCTTTCTCTCTTCTCCCTATAGGGCTCTCTTTGGAAGGAAGTAGTTACAGCCTCAGGCTTGCAGGGAGTGGCCTTGGGTCCTATCCTTGAGGGGGTCCTTCTGTGTAAGTCACTGTGGACTGCAGGTGACACTCCTAGACCTTACTCCCTTGTGTATTTATTCCTGAGGCTCTCATCCAGTGAGGGCACCTGTGACCTCTGGGCCCAGGTTACCCACTGGGCCAT